ATAGAAAATACTAAAACCAACTTATTGAGAAAGAGATATACATGTTGTCCTTTTGAGCAAGATGAGAAGTGGGTTATCATTAATCAACAGGAATCTGACGGCAGAAAAGATAGAAATTGATGTCTAGACACAGTTATTAATCATTTGTTCATACACCGGTATAACCCTTTGTTAAAAAGGTAGAGCCAATTTCCTTTGAATCCTATTCCATCTGTAAAAAGTCTTAAAATCTTTACTTAAATTCATAGTAACATAGTTCCATATGTGTACTTCAAGATTCTTACAATGTAAAGGTTATTTCTTATCAGATCACAAAATTATACTCTCCTAGAGATAGCTTCAAACCGCAATTTTGACGGATTTTGTCAAATTTTGTGTATTTATCCCAAACAACAGCAACTTCATAGCGCTGAATAACATTACATTTATGGAAATATGTAACATTGTTGAAGAACGTTTTAAATACACGAATAGACTTTGTAATATTCAATTTCGAGTAGGATTTGACAACTTTTAGACACTGTGAATGAAACAATTACAGGGGAAATACTCTACTTGACAATACCGTAATTCCCCTGTAATTAGAGATTCATTAGTACGAGTTGTTTCCCTTAGGAGGGACATACATTTTCATTGGTAATGAGAGCTAGCGGAGAGAGCAAATTAATCTGTGCGTTTTATGCGCAATCTTTAAGTTTTTCAAATCTTTTAATTACATTTAATCTTTATTTAAGCTAAACATGTTTCATATCAATAGTTATTGTTCATTACAAATTGATCAAAACCCTCACATATCACTTTCAACTTATCATGCTTTTATGCTGTGTTAAAAGTGTTTAATTACAGAATCAAATAAGTGATTGACAAATAGATACCCTACCTCTTTAAATTAACCAAGACTTAAATATTTTATTCTATGGTTACGAACCAAGGATTTTAATTGCAAAATTTATTTTTGACCTTTGGTTATGAAACCCATGGTTAAGTTTCCACTGAATGTTCCTTTTATTCAAATTTAGATGGATAAACACTTTCATTTGATCATATAAAACTGTTTTGATCAATAAATTTAACAATTACTTGTATACAAAACAAATCTTTTTTTCTGCTTAAAATAATTAAAAAAAGTTTATTTCAAAACAATCTGAATATGGACGTGACAGAAAGCACCTTTTGTAATAGAAAGAAGCGTTGATCTTGAAAATAGATACTCTATCTCACTAAACATTCAACATTTAGCTGGTGATTTTTTTTTCATGAGCATATAAGGTCACGGGGTATTATGTCGAGAAGATACAGATACGCTATCCACAATGCGCAAAGGGAGAAAGGCTGAAACACGTAATAATCGGCTCTTTACGGCTTTTGGTCTCAGAAACAAATAATAGCTATAGGTTGTTTCAAACCTTTGATATCCTTTCCAATCGTGATGACATTCTTATCGAAGATAATCGTGGTTTAGACAACAATATTCCTAAATTAAAATTTAGCCGATGTCAGGATCAATGTTAAATCTGAATAATTTTACCATAAATTAATAAAGGGCTTAAATTAATCACAAAAGAACAACAGAAAATAGCATAGGCTTAGAATGTACTCATGGTGCAATATTTTCCATAGATTTTACTATGAGATGAACAAACTTGCTTTGGAGGTCAACACTGTTTTCTATACAGTCACTATGTCAAGGTCTAATTCGCCAAAGTATACATGCATTTAGAAGAAACTTTCAAAGGTCTGCCGATTTATTCTATATTCATTCCAATACCCCCAAAAGTAATAATCATAAAATCATTAAGATACTTATGCAATATAAACGTATGTATACATTGATTAATAGTTGGAAATCAATAAGATGATTCCTCCAGTGGCAGTACGTCAAACAGTACATCATTCAAACTACTTTTTATTTTGTTCGTCTTTCATAGCAAAATATTTGCATGTGACCTTTTTTCTACATATTGAATTTTTAAGTTTGTTCTTATATTGTGGTGTTACACCACTGTCCCAGATTAGGGGAGGATTGAGTGCTCACAAACATAATTAACCCCGCCACATTCTTTGTGTGCCTGTCCAAAGTCCGGAGCCAGCAATTCATTTGTTATCGATAGTTGCTGTCTGCTTTATTTGTTTTTCGTTTTTTTTATTTAGTATAAATATGGAAAATGAGGGTATATGGGATATTGACAGAAATTTTATCTTACACCAGATTGGCCTCTGGTGAATAGTTGTCTCATTGGCTATCATATCACATCTCCTTATTTGTATATACAAATATTTTTACAACCTTGGCCTCAATTTACTTCAATCTCATTATTCCTATTACAGAATACTCTAATGCTAGTATGAATACAACAAATAATGATGGCGCTAACATGACTGATAATATGGAACGTACATCTATGACTACAGATGGTGGAGAAGAAAGAATGAATGGTCAAGGAACGGACAAAACTATGCCGGGAGTTGCACCTGAGCCAGAACCCATTAACAGCACTGCCACCACTGCCACCAGTGCTCTATGGAGTTATCGCATGTTTGGACTTGCAACACTTTCCGTTATCATATTAAATTAACTTTCATTTTGTTTAATCAATATATGTTCTTTTTTTTCTAAAATGACACATCTTGTTGATATAAAAATAAGGAGATGTGGTATAATGCCAATGAGATGTAAGTTGATGTAAGCAATTATAGGCAACCGTACGGCCTTCAGCAATGAGAAAAACACATACCGTAGATAGGTTGATAGGTCATTTGTGGATCTTATACTCTACCAGATGACACAACTTGTTGATGGGAAATTTGTGGATCTTATATTCTTCCAAATGACGCATCTTTTTAATAGATTTGTAGGTTTTATATTATTCATAATGACACATCTTGATGAAAGAGGATCTATGGGTTTTAGATATTTCCTAATGACACATCTTATTGATAGAGAGTGATGTATTTTATATTTTCTCTTATGACACATCTATTTGATAGGAGATTTGTTGATTTTATGTGTCTTCTTATCACACATCTTGTTGATAAGAGATTTCTGGATTTTATACTTTCTCTAAACACACACATTGTTGAAAGGATATTTGTAGTTTGTTTCCTCTAATGACACAGTTTTGTTTTCTCTCTGATTACACATCTTGTTAAATAGATTTATTGATTTCATATTTGCTTTACAGAGACGTTGTATATAATAATGTGTTGTTAACCTAGTTGATTGTACAATAGACTAGTTTTTGAATCCTTAATTTGTATACATATATTACATGGAAAATAAATAAATAATTATCTTCTGCAATTTTTCTCAAACCTGTCAAGACATTGTTGAGATTGAGCTTTGAAGGTTCTGACGATAAATGTCTGAAGTATTGCAGCAATACCATGATATTAAGAAATTGAATAAACTCAACTAAAACATGTTTGTGTTTATATCTTTATCTTTTTATTTTTTTGTACACCTTGCTACGGTCCAATGATTTATAAGCTCATTTATAAAATCTGGTAAATAATTGTAATATATCATGAAACGAAATTGGACCGAAATGTTTTCATTACTGTTGAGTAGATTTTGTAAAGAAACTCCCTAAACTCCCAAATACAGCTACTGAAATCAACCAAAGGTATGAACGATCATTTTACCTATACGTTAGAATCAGTCTAAGGAGTTTGTATGTGATGTTCATATTAATAGGAGAAATCTGAGTAGATAGACCTAGTATATAAAGATTAAGGAAAAGTATACTTCCTGGCTGCACTTATTTTTAAGGAATTGAAGTATTGCACATATTTTTGTTTATGGCCGAACCCTAGGCCTCCATATCAAATTACGTGTCCTGTAAACAAATGCGACTTACCTTCGAATTATGAGCAGCATGACAGTGCCATTAATACTCAGGAACAAAAAACCTTCCCAGTGCTTATAAGTTCATCCAAGATTTTAAGGGATACGTGTTTTGTTTTACTTCAGACTAAGTTTTTGGTGTAGTTCCTGAGGAAGGTATTGTATATTACAGAAGAAAAACAAAGGATATGGGGTATCCATTCATGAAATAAAATCAGTACATGCTCAGAGAAAAACATACAAAAAACATTGCATAATTTTTCTTTTTCATTTGGTAATTTTGATTGCCCCGTTGATGTTTTTTTTTTCTATTATGCAGTTCGGTCTCAAAAGCGTTTCACTCTTTCATAGTTTCACTATGTCATACATGCAAGGATTTCGCTCGGAAATTTAAGATTTAAATATATTTTTGGAAGTTTAAATCATACAAATAATCCAAAATCATTGCAAGAAACTGCAAAAATTTCATTATTCATTGGCAAAAATTTCTGTTTTCAAAGATTAACATTTATGTATCAAATGGCAAACATTTCTGTATTAAATGGCAAACATTTCTGTATTCAATGGCAAAAATTTCATTTCAAAGGGACAAAAAATAACAATTTGAAAAAAAATCATTTGGAATATATTGCGAAATTTTTGAGAAGTGAAACTCTCCTTTTGATCTTTGTACTATGAACATTAGCCAGTTGACGACAATTGTGACCGCATTAACGGTGACATTATTGCGTCTTGCTTACACTATTTTTCTTCAAACTTAATTGAGGAATCTAGCTTGTTGTTTTTATTTGAGCGTCTTATTTGGATTTGGGTATATACATTTAATCAATATCAAACCTATACAGCTACTCTTCGAGTGATCTAATAAGGAAGATTGTATCTAGTTCAATCTCGTTTGACAATTTTGTTCTAGGTGATCTTGGTCTTTTGTTTGACACAGTTAATGACGCCCATAATGACATAGGCGATGCGGACGTTCATATATAAATAACAGCTTACGTGCAATAATAAGGATGTTCGTGTGATCAAACCTTCGTAAACTTGAACAAGCATAACAATATTGTAATTAAGACGATACGAAAATAATCTCTTTATTAGTATAAAGAGGTGTGTATGACTATTCATAAACAATAAATATTTATTGTCAAAAGAACCATGAAGCTTATGATTTTGATAGGCTTCTTTACCAGTAGTCTTGGATTATACAGACACAGGCACGTTCGTGCCGTTAATGATGGGGACACTCGTGCAGCTGATGTGAGTGTATTACTATCGTTTATGTATAATTAATCCTCCCAAAAATTTTATTTAAACGTTAATACATTTTTAAAAAAAAGCTTACTTGAAAAGTTAGGACTCATGTATCTGTTTTGTAATAATGGTAAACTAGATATAAGAAGATGTGGTATGATCGAGTGCCAATGAGACAACTCTCCATCCAAGTCACAATTTGTAAAAGTAAACCCTTATAGGTCAAAGTACGGACTTCAACACGGAGCCTTGGCTCACACCGAACAGCAAGCTATAAAGGGCCCCAGAAATGACTAGTGTAATACCATTCAAACGGGAAAACCAACGGTCTAATCTATATAAAAAACGAGAAACGATAAACACTTATGAACTACATCAACAAACAACAACTACTGAATATCAGATTCCTGACTTAGGACAGGTGCAAACAAATGCAGCGGGTTTAAACGTTTTAATATGTACCAACCTTCACCCTTATCTGAAACAATAGTGTAACATCACAACATAGAAAGACACACTATAAAATATCAATTGATACCCATATATTTTTTTTTAGATATTGCGCTGACACTGGATACCAATTCTTATAAAATAATCTTTTTGATTGTTAATAAGTCTTATTTCATTAGTTTTTCTAGATAAAAAGACGAATTGTTAATTCTAAAACAATTATTTGCAGTAAACATGAGAGTCTTTCGAAAGATAAATGTTTTTCAAGTTAGTCCAGCTTAACCGATTTACATATATATCATTAATGTAAAACTCACAGTGGTTTCCATACATTTTATGTATGACACAAGTATATTTTAGTATACCTTTCATATGGTTACTTCAGTTGATATGCATTTATAGTCAAAGCATTTTTTATTCATTTAAAGTAAAAAGTGTTTGATTTAATAAAATGGTTATTGAACGATTTTGTGCTAGATCGTGCATTATTATTGTAGTAGGGTTTTCTATATGAATTGGATTTCACATAAAGAATGTAGCGGGGATAAATTAAATCACCATGGTTGTTGTATAACAATTATATCATTATAATACCATACCTTTATGTACCTAAAGGATATCAAGAGTAAAGGTATATGGCAAACTTGAATTCACCAATCTAACAGTACGAAGAGTCGTGTTTCGAGATGTTTTAATACGAAATTCTAACTACTTGGGCGACGTTGGATCCATGGGTGCAAGGGATGCGGTATGCCTTCCACAATCGTGTTATAAATGTTTACTCTCTAAAGATCTAGCATCAGCAGAATTTATTATGAATCTTTTCAATGAAAAAACATATCCTTGGATAGGTAACACCCTCACATGTTGAAATTTCTTTCTTTCAGGCAGCCAATATCACAATACTCCATTGTAATTAATATAAAAAGCAATATCTATTTTCAGAGTTATCTCGAACAATTTGGTTATATGTCAAGCGCTAAATCATTCCAATTACACAGTACCTCTGAGAGGACAGAGGCTCTTAAGTAAGTATCAAGTATTAGCAGAGAAATCGTGACTTACTTTAAGAGAAATAAGGGGCAGTAAAATGTATTCTTATATGGTAAAATGATCGGTTTACACTGCATTTAAAAAAGATAGCCATTGATAGAACATATTTTAATCTTATTTGTCCTAGCGCATCTTTCTATCAACAGGACTCGAACTCAAGCTGTTGAGACGTTAAATGAAATACCTCATACACTAACAAAGGACCACATCTAATTTCGCCTACAAAGGGCTACATGACAATATAGCGTGATGACTTTCCTCTTCGGTTCAATGTTGGAGTGCAACACAGTGAAAGATGCACATTGCAGTTGGTTACCGGTGTTATAAAAATAAGATGTGGGATGATTGCCAATGAGATAACTCTGCACCAGGGACCAAATGACGTAGAAGTATATAGGTCACCGTACGGTTTTCAACAGTGAGCAAAACCTGTACCAAATAGAAAGCTATAAAAGGCCTAATATGACAAATGTAAAACAATTCACGAGAAAACTAACGGCCTGATTTATGTACAATACAATAAACGAAAAACAAATATGATACTAGTATACAGCAACAAACGACAACCACTGAATTATGTTCATTTTTTACTGTATCGTAAAAGATGACATTGTCAATGTTACTCAGGCGGAAACCCAGTTGAAATAGAACAAAAGAATCGAAGCTCTTTGTTAAAGGCGATAAATGTTTACTGTAATGTTTACTATAGTAACAAAAATTTTAAAAGTTAATAGAAACAAATAAAATGACAGTTTTCGGCTAAATTACGAAGTATTTTATCATAAAAACACCATTTGCATAAGTTTTCAATTTATCTATTACATAATTAAGCAGAACAATTAGATAGCAAGTCCACGACATGGGTGTCTATTCAGTTGGATCTAAAAAATGCATAACCTCCAATTTAAAAAATAAAAATACCACGGACAGAGAACATATCAATCTATTTGTTCCTTAATTTTCGTTTCTGCCCTTCCATTATGTGACTCGATAAATAATTCCAAAAATGGGAAACAATTGCATCGAAAAGAGAAAATCGAGTGCACCTTTTTATGTTAGGGCGTGTTTGAGTTGAATATTTTGTCTTGAAAACGTAAAAAGCAAAAGTATTTGATACATCATCTCGCTTCAGATTCTGTCATTTTTATATATCAAGGCTACAGGTTGACTTTATAACATCGAAAATTCACAGTACTAAAAAAATGAAATATATGGGTCAAGTGAAATACCTTTCTAATGAATCACAGAAACAGAATAGGTGTGTTCGAATAGCAAATTTTTACTAAAAATACTTGACGACAGACTTTTAAGTTGGATCTTAAAAATGCATATCTTCGAAAAAACTTCATTTTTTGTGTGTGTTATCTAGGGTTTATAGTCTTCAACCACTGAAAATTTTAAGTCTGCCCTTCCACGAAATATTGAATTAGAATTTTTTTAGATGTTTATGAATTTTCGAAAATTCCACCTGACAACCGATCAGACAATAGTTTTAAGTTGACTGAATGTAGACAAGTACATTAACTGATGCTCATTAGCAAGTAGATACATTTGTCTCTTAAAATACAACTGGCATATAAGGATCGTAATGATGCTATGTGGATAAATTTATCGGCTTTCAAGAGCTAAATTGGCAGCGCATCATCCCTACAATGGCTTCCATTTTTACAATCGTAAAAATGAACTGGCGTAATGGGGAGATAATTTTGACAGAGTAGAATCCTGACTGTACTGTTTATACTATCGCATAAAATTGTTTTTATAGTACCTTATTACTTACTTTAGTTTTTTATCAGCTACAACCGGTTTGTATTAGGTTTGGGATTTTCAAAAATTTATGCCTCAATTATTACCGAAGAGACATTAATTGTCAAAATGCGCATCTGGTGCATTAAAATTTGTACTGTTGATTTTATTACTCGATGAAGTGTACCCCAAATTAACATTTATTGACCTGTGAAACCTATTAGTAATTAAAGTTTTATTTTAATTTGATGCTAAAATTTAAGACTAAAGTTTTTACCTCTTCTAGTGAGGGTGGACAATTTAATCCTCATCTAAGTATTCAATGATATAACCCTACCGGAAGATCCGTTTATTTTTATAAATTTTCCCGGTTTCATTTTTACTTTTGTGATTTATTTACGATATCCGTATTTTAAATAAATTATTCAATTTGTATGATTCGTCATTTTTTATGTAACGTGACCCATTTGTTCAAAAATAATTCGTTTGTTGATACATGTATGAGTGTGTATAATTATCACATTATTATAATAAAAAAAAATATCAATTAGCAGATAAAATTCAAAATAAACAGCAATGCAGAGATATTCTGAAATGTTTTAACACAGGTGGATTTATCCCCCCTCCATTTATGGCGTTACATATGTGGTTAATACATAAACTTTCTTTACGTGGGCCCCCTTTTAAATCCTCGATCCGCAAATGCATGTAATAAAAGTTGTAGAAAATTAAGGAAAGGTCAAAAAAGTATGGTCCATTATTTCATAGAGAAAATATTGGAAAACAAATTAAGAGAGGAAAACATTAATACATTATCACTTGAAATAAAACAAAGAATAAATGAATGTTATCACTTATGTCTTCCTTATTCGTCATTATTGAAAAAAAAATCATAAATGTCAACTTCGAATTCAGTAGTTAATCATGAGAATGATTTATATAGTAAGATTCTGCTAATTCTTGAGCTAACTAATATTAAGGAATTCTTACACTATGACAGTTAGACACACACAATTATAGGTATTGCATTTCAAATTTGTTTAACGTTTATGTTTTTGTACATAAATCTGGCAGTTCGTTTTCTCGATTGAATTATTTTGTATTTTATAGCTTGCTATGCGGTACGGATTTTGCTCATTGTTGAAGGAGAATAAACTATTTTTTTAATAATGTTATTGATTCTTTAAACTTACATTAACTTATTTGCTTGAATTAAAAATCTTTACAGAAAAGCAACATACTGATATTGATAAAAAATATATAAATTTACAGGTCCTTTCAGAAGTTTAACAATCTGCCGATAACAGGCAAACTCGATCAAGAGACCGTAAACAAGATGAATTCACCGAGGTGTGGTGTTCCGGATATGGAACCCGGTGCAGATGGTTTACCAAAACCATACAAAACTGGTGACTATGTACAATTTTGTCGCTACTTTATGAATTATATATCATGTAGTTGATTCACATATCCTAATAATAACTTTAATTGCATTAAATATAGAAAGTATGATCATTGTACTTTTAATGCTGCATGTATAATTGAAATATGCATGACACGGGTTATGTTCTTCTCATATATGTTATGATGGTATGATACTAAACCCCTAACGGGAAGGATTGTGCCTGATATTCATATGATGAAGACATAATCTTTCAATCAGTTTAATTGGAGCTGGCATGTCAGTTAACTGCTAGTAGTCTGTTGTTATTTATGTATTATTGTCATTTTGTTTATTTTCTTTGGTTACATCTTCTGACATCAGACTCGGACTTCTCTTGAACTGAATTTTAATACGCGTATTGTTATGCGTTTACTTTTCTACATTGGCTAGAGGTATAGGGGGAGGGTTGAGATCTCATAAACATGTTTAACCCCGCCGCATTTTTGCGCCTGTCCCAAGTCAGGAGCCTCTAGCCTTTGTCAGTCTTGTATTATTTTTAATTTTAGTTTCTTGTGTACAATTTGGAGTTTAGTATGGCGTTCATTATCACTGAACTAGTATATATATTTGTTTAGGGGCCAGCTGAAGGACGCCTCCGGGTGCGGGAATTTCTCGCTGCATTGAAGACCTGTTGGTGACCTTCTGCTGTTGTCTGTTCTATGGTCGGGTTGTTGTCTCTTTGACACATTCCCCATTTCCATTCTCAATTTTATTCATATGTTTTGGAGTTTGGTGTGACGTCCATTTTGATTGAACTATATATGCATTTTGTTTAGGGGCCAGCTGAAGCCGCCTCCGGGTGTGGGATTTTCTAGCTGTGTAGAAGACTCATAGGTGGCCTTCATCTGTTTTCTGCCCTTGGTCAGTTTTATTCATAGTAGGAAACGTCTGCACAATATAATTGGTAATCAATACATTGAATTTAAAACTGGTCACTTGTTATCTAGCTATCAATGCAATGATGATTGAAATGGCTACATCCGACGACTAGCTTTAGTGTCAGTGAATTTGTATAATTATAAAAAAGAAGATGTGGTATGATTGCCAATGAGATAACTCTTCACAAGCGACCAAATGACACAGAAATTAACAATTATAAGTCACCGTACGGCCTTCAACAAAGAGCAAAGCCCATACTTCATAGTCAGCTATAAAAGGCCCCGAAATGACAAATGTAAAACAATTCAAACGAGAAAACTAACGGCCTAATTTATGTACAAAAAAAAAAGAACGAAAAACAAATATGTAACACAGCAACAAACGACAACCACTGAATTACAGGCTCCTGACTTGGGACAGGCACATACATACAGAATGTGGCCGGGTTAAACTTAACATGTTAGCGGGATGACACTGAATCAACAATATACGATTATACGATTGATAAGTACATGTTTAATTTAATAAGGGAATACAGCTACTTTTCGATGTTTCAAAGTCACCTCAAACGATAGCTTTCGATTGACATCAATTGAGTTAGATTGACTTCTCTTTTGTGGCTATGTTGGAAGTCTTAAGTGGCGTTAAAATCTTCACGAATCAACCAAACTCAACATGTGATACTGACCGCTAGAATTTAAAAAATATGGCTTCTGAACAATTTTTTATTTCTTTGAATCTTGCCTAATTTATCACTATGATCTTGAAAGATCTCTAATCAGACTTGTGTGAATCGCATGCTTCAATTTGGTTAGTCAGTAAACAATCAACCGCGTATTCCTCTAAAATTGTTGCCAAGGGGAATAACTCATACTCAAATTACGTCATTCGAAACCAATTTGTATATTCAATATATGAGATTTGTTTATCAAGTATCTTTTTTTTTAATCGATGATGTCGACTTTTCCTGTGTTGGCCATACTAGACATATTTTATACTGGGTTGTCTTTTAAAAAGTTTTATACTGTATTCACTTTCCTTAACATAGACAATGTCCTCTCACTGATAATAATATAATGATTAAAAATACAGATGAATTGATAGATGGATAACAATTCTTGATATAAAAATAGTTTTCTCATCTTTTTGAGTAACTATCATTCAATATTCCTATATCATATCATGGCGATATCTATAATAGTTTTACTTTTGTCCATAGGACCCAAATGGACTAAAAAGAATTTGAGTTGGAGAGTTGCTGATTTCAGCGATCGTTTGTCGAATTCGGTTGTAAAGTAAGTACTTAAAATAATTTATAAAAGTTATGTCTTGGAAGTTGCTTAACATCATATTGACATGTTATATCTTTTGGAAGCCATACACAGAATATTTAAAAACAAATATCAACAATGTTCCTGATTTTAAACAGAGAATAGGTTGAAATCAACGTTATTCTAGACTTGCACTTGTGAGGTGACTACGTGCTACCTCAGTTTCATATCTGTTTATAGGTCTGAACATTCACGAGTACTTCGAATCTAGTCTGTTTGTTATTTTGTTTCTTTAAAGGTCTTGTTTTCTTTTTTTGATGACATCAATAATTCATACTTTAAGATATTCGGTTTGGTGTAACTATATTTTTGTATGTTATTTTTCCTCTCCTGTTAACAAAATTAACATTCCAAGATAAAGTGAAGTTCATCCCCGATTTCATTTTTTCTACACAGAGTACACTTTCTGTTTTGTCTGTTGGTGTTATACCATCTACCAGCTTCAATAGGTAATTTATGATTTGTCATTCTATGTCTGAAAAATTCTACAAGATTTTTGTTATCTAAAATATCTAAATAAACTTCCGAACTAATGTATCTTTAAATACTCTGTAATTAACAGCATTGCGTGATTCTTCTAACAATAAGAGCCAATTCTGTTCAAATTGATCTTTAAGGTTTCTACTAACTGTCAGACGCAGCAAATTCAAATTAATAAAAGTTTGTGTATTCCAAATATATGTTAAGCCACATTCATTTAGAATATTTTTTATGTTATCTAACCATAAAAACCGATCTCCGTTCTCCGTTTACATAATTTTATGACAATTGAAAACATAAGTTATAAAAATCTTTTGACAATTTTGACTCTTTTCCAGAAAGAAGTTTAGCCCAGAATGATATCATTCTATTTTATGTCAATTTCTAGAGTATATCTTCCAAGTTCGCCATATATCATATACGATGGTGTAGAAGATTTTAAATGTAGCAGCAATTTACAAAATTTTAAGTGGACATTTTCGATTATTTCGTTATTGCTGAAACCATGATTGCATGATTTTACTTTTATCAGCATTAACTTTCAGTTTCCATGTAGTACAATAATCTTGAAAGGAGTCAAGTTGCCTTTGGAGATCTGCAGGTGATTCTGCCATTAGCACAGTACCATCAGCATATAAAATTACAAATAATTTCAAATATGTATTAAGTTTGAGTTCAATTTCGTTAGAAATCGTTTGCAGATCATTTAAGTGACAGTTTGATAAATGTAACTCAAGGTCGAAAAGAAACGGGGACAAATTATCCGCTTGACGAACACCGTTACTACAAAGAAAAAATTCTGACTTGCAATCATTATAAGAAATACAAGACTTTGTACCATTATACGTATTAACAATTATATTATAAATGTTACCATTCATATTATTCACTAACAACTTATACTATAGACCATCCCGCCAAACTTTGTCGAAAACTTTTACAAAATCAATAAATGAGCAAAACATTTTTTTCTTCTTGTTTTTTAGAATTTCAAAAAAGATAAAAATTATAAACAAATTATCAGTTGTTGAATTGCCCTTACGAAATCCACATTGATTTTCATTCAAGATAAGAAAGTCGCCTGAAAACTCAGTTAATCGCTCACTCAAAATTGCAGTAAAGAGTTTCCCAAGGCAACTCAGAATTGTTATTGGTCTATAATTTTTTGGGTCCATTTTGTCACCTTTGTTTTTAAAAATCGGTTTAATATATATTTCCAATAAGTCAACTATCCGGGATAACGCCTGTTACGAAAATAATATTAAATAGTTGCTGGTAAATGTCTATGAACATAGTTTATTTTCTGTTGACTTAATATACTCATTTACAATTAAATCCTCTCCTTGGGACTTACTGTTTTTTAATTTTTTAATACATTTTTTAATTTCGTCTTTTGAAATGTTCCTAATTATATTTTCGTTCAGACGATTTATATCGTTCGGGTCAATATATAGTATGTTAAAGTCTTGTTTGTCATATGGTTTCTCGTTTAAAGCTTTAAAAAATTCAAAAAGTTTTTCAATAGGAACGTCAAATTGCTCCCTGTTTTTCAAAAGTTTCCAGAATTCCTGTGAATTATTTGATTTTAAATTTTAAATTTTCTTTGACAACTTTCTTTTGTGATCAAGAATAGCTTTGTCCATAACTTTTTTGTATTTTTTTTCAGCTAATTTTAAGTCTTGAAAATTTTGATTTGTTCTATTTGTTTTGAATTTTCTTTTACGTTTTCTGAAATTGTGTCTCTCAAAATAACAGTCATTATTAAACCATTCTTTTTTCAACTTTCCAAGTTTCTTTTTTTCTTTTTGCTAAGAATTAGAAAATTTACAAGGTCCAAATGTGTATTTCGCAGAATTATAGAATATTGAACATAAATGATCAAGTAAGGTATTAATTTTTGTTTTATCGACTGACGAGTACTTTTTACTAATATCTAGGTTTCCACCTACAACTTCGTTAAACAGCATCTATAGTTCATCAAGTTTGCCTTGTTCAATCTGATCTTTAAATTCCAGACATTTTTCTTGGTCCTATTTCTTAATTTTTTAGAAAATGTTTGACAATTACAATTTTCACCAGTTTCCTCTACATTAACCAAGGATGACCCCGACAATGAAATGCAAGTGCACAATGAACATCTGAATAAAAATTACTAAAATCTAGTACAGAAAAATTTCTTAAATATTTCAATAAACTTGTAGAACTTATACAATAATCTACAATGCTAGCGTTTTTACATGTTAACTTTCCTAACATTAAATTCACCTATTCTCCCATTTACAATAAATGAATTATTTCCTTTGCAAAAATCTAAAATTTTCTTTCCGTACCCGTTTCTTATAGGATCGTAAACTATTTCGTTTTCGTGGTATGTTCAGTGAGTCAAGCGTCAGAACGTCTTTTTCCACAAAACTCGCCACATTGTTTCCATGCATTTCTTTTGAAAGGAAAAAGTCATCGTCGTTGGCCGTTCGTCCGTTAAAGTCTCCAATAAGGGCTACGAATTTGTAATTTTGTGAGAAATTTATATACTCGCCCTCCAGTTGACAAAATGCATCCTGTGAAGAAAATGCGGTATATTCAGGTGGTATATATACTTTACCTATAACAATATCTTGATCTAAATTTAAAAGGTCTGATGAGACTTTAAAAAAAAAGCACGTATTTAGATTTTGTAGACAAGGGTTTTATCTTACTTGCTATTTCTTTTCTATAGCCAAGAATGATGCCCCCAGCTATATATAACTATAAAACCAGGTTTAACCCACCATTTTCTTTGAAAAAATGCCTGTACCAAGTCAGGAATATGGCAGTTGTTTTTCACTTGTTCAGTTGATTGATAGCGTTTGAATTTGCCTTGGAGTTCGGTATTTTTGTTATACTTTTTTGCAAGCTTGATGTCTTTTGGTCCCTTTTGTTTGCTGGCTCATTGATGTATACCCACATCTCCTGTTATTCGTATACGATTTGATTGGCAATCATTCCACATCTCCTGTTATTCGTATACGATTTGATTGGCAATCATTCCACATCTCCCGGTATTCGTATACGATTTGATTGGTAATCATTCCACATCTCCTATTATTCGTATACAATTTGATTGGCAATCATTCCACATCTCCTGTTATTCGTATACGATTTGATTTTGGCAATCATTCCACATCTCCTGTTATTCGTATATGATTTGATTGGCAATCATTCCACATCTCCCTATTTTCATTTCAATTACAACACTTAAAGTCTGGTCCAACTTTCTCTTTTGTTTAATAGATCCGACCTAGAATGAGCTCTAAAAACCTATATATAGATAGTTACTGTTTTAATTTCTGTTAAATAGATTTGAACTAGCAAGAGCACTTAAAACCTCACCTGACAGTGTTTCCCCTCTTGTATAGATTTAAACCAGCTAGATTACTTAAAATATGGCCTACCTGTAACATAGATCTGAACTAACTAACTAGAGCAATGAAGCTCTAGCCTTATTATTACATTTTTTGTTATTTAGGTCTGAAATAGCTAGAGCACTTAAAGCCTGGTCGGACGTGGCAGATTTGTCCTTCACAGAAGTTAATTCCGGGGAGGATATTAAAATCAAATTTGTGACAGGTGATCATGGTGATGGTTACGCCTTCGATGGCACAGGTACGTTATATATTCAATTGTTCATGGTATGGAATGAGAGACTATTTCATCTGTATGGTATATAACGACACGAAAGAGCAAGTTCAACAATTAAATCTGCATCAAACATGTGTGATAATTTAAAAGGCCTAGAATCAGGCGTCTCTGATTGAGCTTGTTAGATAAATAAGTCCTTTTGTAATATTATAGGACTTACTGTAATATTACATAAAACATTGGTAATATACCCTCAAGATAATTTTAGATGTTTATAGGAAGTTAACATATATATGAAAATTACGATTTGGTTGATTAAATTGAGTTTGTTTGATTGAAAAAAAGATACAACCTATATTAGCATTATCTAGCAAATGTTGTGTCGTAGAGGCTCATTGCTTCGAGTGTAAAGACGCAAATACGATTGCTAGGGTATGAATCAGAACATCACAAATAATGTACGCCCAATTAATGTACTGATCGTTTGTTTTTTAGTAGTTAGTATATAATTATTATCAATGAATAATTTAATTTTGGATGTAACGCGTCTTCTGATTGGCTGACGGTGTTTTGTTTATCAGCTCATAGACATAATTTAGTCATGTGACCGTGAAGTCGTCAACGTTTTTTCATAATTTACTCCGGTTTAAAATGGAATTTAGAATTAAATTATAAGGAATGACTATAATGTTTTTTCTGTCTATTCGAAATAACATAGAAAATGTGGTGCACACTTTAAAATAACCTGCTACAGTTTTGATGTTATTTCTTCGTAGACAGAAAAAATATTACAGTCATTCCTTAATTGATAATTTTCCAGGAGGCGTGCTTGCTCATGCATTTTTCCCTCAGAATGGCGATGCTCACTTTGACGACGGCGAACTTTGGGTTGTCAATACAACCGGTACAGATCTTTTCATTGTTGCCGCACACGAATTTGGACATTCTCTTGGGCTTGACCATTCAAGCAATAATGATGCATTGATGGCACCGATTTACACTGGTTATATACCAAACTACCAACTTCATTCAGACGACATAGCAGGCATACGTTCTCTATACGGTAAGAAAGATCGACTTCAGTATTGGATGATTACAAATAACCAAAATTCCACATTTCATTCGACAAAATTTAGAGACTCTCTTGATATTTTTGAATTATTGATGTTTGATATGTTACAACGGCAACATAAAAGAGAACATACTATACGGTATGGTTTTTTTTCTCATTGTTGAAGGCCGTACGGTTGCCTATACTTGCTTATATCCAGTTCATTTGAACTTGGGTGGATAGTTGTCTCATTGGCAATCATACCACATCTCCTTATTTTTATAGGATATATATATATAACAAAAGCAAACAACAATCAAAACACAATCAAACCAACATAAAAAGACAAACAAAGTGTACCGAAAACCAAGCATGGAAATACGAGCCTTATTAAAAGAAGGAGAAATACTAGTTACTTCAAAAGGGCTAGTGTTCTCTTCTTTCTTTTATGGAAACCAGTATCCTTCTTATTAGTGGAAGTCCGAAATTTCCGAAAGCAGGTTTAAGAATTATTTCAGCGTTGAAATTGTACCGTTAATATTTTAATAGCATTGAAAAAATTTGTATTTTAATACATACTTTAGTCATGAATCATGAGTCAGTTTGAAAATTGACATACCTTTTTATTCTATTATGGATTCAATTATTATATAATCTACAGAAAATGAGGGGATTTAAACGTTCAGTAAGAGGATGGGTCCCATGGGCCTTAAAGATAAGACGTATTTTAGACAATTGCTGGGTTCATTTTTCAATGATTAGATTGGAACCAAGATACAATATTCAACTATCGTGACAAGATTGCTGTTGTGATATCATTTCCAACATGTGTTATTCATTTAAATACTTGTTAGAAATAATTACCGGATAAAATGGTTTGAAATGCTAGCATAATTTGAAATTCTGACACCTAGATGGTGTTGGGTTCAAAAAACCATGGCTACAAAGAATTTTGGGATATCTTTTCTAACATATGTATTTTTCACGTCCAATGTTTATTGTGGCACTATAACTATCATTAACGGTATCAATTTTACTGTACCCGGTATGCATTTCGACAATTTATGTCTTTTAATGATGTTTATGGTCAAAGCATTTGATAATCCAAAATCATTTACAAACGTTGAAGAGCTGATAAAACCGAAAATCAAGAAAAGAAGTGTTGTGGATTTATTTTCCTATTATTATCGTCCAATAAGGATATTTATTTTGGCATTATTATTGGATTAAGTATCTGAAGACCGAAATAATTTGAAATTATGATATTTCATATTGGTTCGTGTAGGAGAACAACAAAACCCTTCACCAACTGATTCTCCAAGACCTACTCCAGCAGTGACAGTGACGCCTCCCGTAGACAACAGACCGGAACTGTGCCAAAATGGTTATGAAGCTACAATTAAAAGTATGTTTCGTTAGGCTACGAAAACTAGAATATATTGATAAAAATATAGATTTATTTTGCAATGGAAATAAACTTAAAGACTACGTATGATTAAAATTTAATTTTCAATATGTAATTAGAATTTAAATATGAATCTATTTTTTGTAACGTGTAAGTTTTTAAAAATCAAAGTTTTGCAACTTAAGGGTTCTTCTAACTGAAGCCAGGAATAATAAAAAGTCAATTGAGACAATTGTCATGAAGATTGTAGATAAAAGTACATTTTGTATATAGGTTTTTCAAGAGTTAGATATATAAAAAGAGAGAGGCGAAAGATACCAAAGAAATATTCATACTCATAAGTCGAAAATAAACTGACAACGCCATGGCTAAAAAGAAAAAGACCAACAGACAAACAGACAAACAACATTACACAAAAAAACTAAAGACTGAGCAACACGAACCCCACCAAAACTGGGGGTGATCTCAAGTGCTCCGGAAGGGTAAGCAGATCCTGGTAAGCAGATCCTGCTCCACATGTGGCAACCGTCGTGTTGCTCATGTTAGTACACACCTGGTAATAATTCTAATTCGGTAGGTCACACTCGGGGAAAAGGGGACGGGATTGTAGTTACGAAATTTGGAACATATCCACTATCATCTGTGAAACGGATATTCCATAACGGTCAACCAACTCGTGATGGCGTCCGTAAAATTTACGAAGGGATGATTTCAACCTCACCACTTGGAACTCTTGGTTTAATAGCTTCCTTGTATATAAGGTTACATTGAAGTAAATCAACTACACGTCTTACGCTCCTTTTTATCCGATTTTTAATCCCCCTATTTATGAATTTCGATTCTGATCTGAACTACATGATATGTTAATCAAAATAACCGTTGAATTGTTAAAATTGCTTAAATTGATCGCAAATAAATGTACTGAATCAATGTGATTAGAGGTCTATATTGCTTTTCTATAGGCGGAATCATATTTTTTTTATCAAAATCATAATTTAGTAAAAGTTTGTGTGTCATTACATGTAAATGAACTTGTGTAGTTGTAATCCATACTTTTTAAAACGTTTTTGTCTGTTTCATTCAAAAGATGCCGTAATGTAGGATGTATATCATTCTCTTCGTTTTATAAAAAAAAACATCACATCACATTTAATTTGTTTTATAGATACAAATGGGGAGTATTTGTTTTTCGTTAAACCAAAACACGTTATGATGATGACTGCTGAGAATGGGCTATATAGGACTGAAAAAACAAAAACCGTTTTCAAAAAGTCTCCAAGGAAGGTAGATGGTGCTTTTATTCTACCGGACACGAATAACACATACTTCATAAAAGGTAAATCGAACGTTATCAAAGATAATTATTATAGATACTTTTTCCGTCAAATGTTTTTTATAAGACCTGAATTGGATACACAATTTGTATGAAGCGTGACTATAATGAATTCCACATATACATTTCAAATCTGCTTCATATCTCGACTATGAGTTTGCAAATCCCAGTGATGGTTGGTTAAAAACAAAATTGTAAGACAAAAATTTTCCATTGTGAATTTCCATTTCTATGCAACAACATTCCAGCAGCTGAATAAGAAGTATATATCTTACATGTGGTACGATATTCCAGTGCTTGTGTTTCTTATTATGACTCTCTTGATAGCAGGTTACTGGTAGTGAGGAAGCTAATGAACAAACGATTTATAATGGTTAAGAAGAATAATGTTTTGAAAGGTTTATGGATGCCATTTGGTGAACCACTAGGAAAAATCTGTGTCACAGAACCCCAATAATATATCCCACTTTTCGTAACATAAACCAGTCTTTTTTGTCATTTATGAATTTTTGATAGGGTTTGCGGTACTGAATGTTTCACTATTGCTTTAAAATATTCCGATTACGGTCCTCTAGAAGCGTTTCAAGAAAATTTTTACACGCAAAGAGCATGACACTCGCTCTAAAGGAGGCATCGTATTCAACTCCACTTTCTAACAGGATGCGGTAGCGTATTATATATATCCAGATCCCTCTTTGGTATTGGCTTAATTTCCGGATGCTTGCATATGATATAATACATGTATATATTCATTGTGTATTCACAGGCAAAAAATTGTACGAATTCGACTCTGAAGGAATACGTACAAGGGTGCTCAAAATTAAAGGTGGACGGAAGAGTATGCCAGAGAAAACACGTGCCGCATTTGCTGTTAGCGAAAATCAGGTGTATATGTTAGGTGTAAGTAGTAAATATTTATTAAAACAGAAATGATACACAAAACCAAAAAAAAACAAAACAAGAAACTTGAAAATTTATCTGATTTTTGTTAAGAGAAAACATTGGATTCCTCATTAAGATAAACCTGATTGGAGTCCAGTTTTATCTTTTTCTAATAACGTGTATGAATTAATTATAAACATGAATGTACTCTTAAGGCTAAGCTTGGAACACGCTACAAGACAAGTAAAAACAAAATCACGAACAACGAGAGAAAGTGACAGCTGCTGTTTATTTTCTGTATAATGTATTCATTAGAGCTCGTTTTGCTCAAAGTTCTATGTTTTAAGTGGTTACTGCTTATGAACGTCAGTTCTTGTTTAGAAGTCAAGATTTCACTTCAGAATAAAAATATGGTCAAATGGGTTTTTCTAGTATGGTAATTAGATCAGTAATGCTGGAACGAACGCTTTGCTGCATTTATAGAATGTATATATACGCAGCGACGGACACCTGGTTGCATTGGATGTATGAAAACACAGCCATTTCTGGTTGGATTCGGGATTTTAAATCCGATGCTCCTTTTTTGGGGAAAAATGAATAAGTGATCTATTGCAAAGCAAATTTTCAGCCCCTATGCAACATACCCCAATTTTTAAATGATCGCCTAATTAACTCAAACTTCTTTCTTGTGTAATATTCATGAAATAATTAAGTCTAAATGATATTCAAATCAATCGACGAATACATCAAATGTACTTGTTGTTCAGACACACTTGTATACTGTACTGATTTAAAAATTTGTAAGGTGCATGTAGTTTGTTGTTAAAATGCTTTATCTTTTAAAAAATTGATTATTACTTAAGCCTATGAATGAATAAATGTTGACTCTTGCGCATACTTTCAGGATAGTATGGTATGGCAACTAGATTTGTCCACCCTAACTATCAGTTCTGAATCGATCAAATCAATATCAGAAGAGTTCCCTGGATTATCCTCGGGGATTGATGCAGCAATGCTGTACGACACTGAGACAGTTTATTTCTTCCAATCTAACATGTAAGTTTACTGGTATTTTCATTATTATTAAATGCATCAAAGATGCTACTGGTAGAGTAATACTTATTTGGAACATACAACACTTTATCAAAAACACCATAATGTCAGACAATAAAATGTAAATATTTTAAAAGAAGTTTAGCACATTACAGTCACAGTACAGTATGGGGTTTGCTCAATGTTGAAGAGTGTACGGTGACTCAATATAGCTATAGGTCACGGTACAGCCTTCAACATTGCGAAAACCCCATACGGTATAGTTATTTATAAAGGGCCCGACATGACAAAATGTAACAATCAAACGAAAACACCAACTGCCTGATATATGACAAAACAATGAACGAAAAACAGATATAATATCCCATATTGTTCTTTTATTTTTACCTTTTTGTCAAATATATTACAAATTACTGCTGTTAAACTGGTAGAGAAACCTTAGATATCTAAGCTTTGAGCTTGCTTTCCTAATAGTATTTCACGACCAATTCTTTCTTGTCTTGGTTGTTTTTTCATGTGATGTATTTTTTTTTTAAAAAGTAAGTAGGTATAAAAAAGGAAACCAAAACCACGAGTCGAAAAAAATACAAAAAGACAAACAACAGTCCACAAATCGTTGAAATAAAATCCAAGATTTAACAACATTAATCTCGTAAAAGTTCACAAGTGAACACAGATGTTCAAAGGGTTCATAAGCAGAATTATTGATCATCATTGCAAATTCTGATTGGTGTTATTAGAGTCAGCATATGGAACGATCTTAAACCCGCAAAATGCTGTACGTGCTTGTCCAAAATTGTTTCGTTTTTTTTTATGTTATGATTATTTTGGGAATCAAGTGAACCTAATAAAGATTATTCTATGACAATCATTGATTATTCACTGAAACCAAACCTTTATTTAACCTGAAGCCCAAAATATGCATCGATTGTCCACGTGATCTTAGCAGGATGATTTTTTTGGTATGGGATTAGACAAAATGGGTGCAGGAATTAATTAAGAATACAAATCCATGAGTCGCATGTTAGCGGAATGATTTAGCTCTCGCAAACAATTTTGGTTCTAGTGACTGGTGTTAGTTCATCTCCGCAATGAATTTAGATCATTTAATGTTATTAACTAATAAAGAATGAATTAATGAGGTTACCTGTTGCCCCTTTTTAAATGTTTCACCTCTTGCTATTCATGGTCCTTTATAATTTTCCATAAGGTTTGGTTTCAGCTCATCATTGAAGACTTAACAATCCCTTGTTCTTAATTTTCTTTTTGGAAATTATGCCATGCTTCATTTTATCTGACAGTGCATAAAAGAACCAGGTATTTGAATATTACCTAAAAGTTCAGATCTTGCAGTCATAAAAATTTCGACTACGATAATGGTAATCAGACTCAAATTCAACCAATTAAAATAACGGATTTGATGTTTCGAGCACAAATGTTGTACTCTGAGTAAAGTTTTATGACTGAGAGCCCATGTTTCTTTCTGAATCTGCCTGAAATAGTTACCACTTGACGTTAAGAAAAAAAAAACAGTAGATTCAATCACCAATCTTTCGTTCAATTTTTTTTAACCATTATTTTCTTGATTACGACATCACATTCTCTTATCATCAGTGATCTTACTGTGTAATTAAAACTAGAGGCTCTAAAGAGCCTGTCACGCTCACCTTGGTCTATGTGCATATTCAACAAAGGACACTCTCCAACATTGTAGACGAGAATAGAATGCATGACAAAAATCTCTGTTTTGTTGATCTTGTATTGCTGATCATGTAGTCTGTTTAGTTTCTCTCTATATTCTTTAGTTTTTGCTCAAAACACAAAAGAGGGTAAAAAAAATCCTCATTTAAGGGCAATCATTCCTATAAAAGTGACAGTCTACTAACCATATCGGCAACATTATACTTGTGAGTAGATCTTGCCTTACTGATCATTTTTGTGATTTAAAGTGTCTATTTATCTATTATAATTTTTATCGTATTAGGCAAAACGCAAACAAAAATGGTAAAAATCGTTATTAAAGGGCAATAACTACAATAAGGAGTCATCAGACAATTTCCTACATATCATTTTAATTGTAGATCTTGTCTTTCTGGTCATTTTTGCTTATTTAAGTTTCTATCCATCTATCATAATTGTTAAGATATAAGGCAAAAACGCAAAAAATTGATAAAAATCGTCATCAAAGGGCAATAACTCTAATAAGGAGTCGACTGACGATTTCGACCATGAAACTTATTTGTGGAACATGTCTTGCTGATCATTTTTGCAATTTAAAGCTTCTCTCTATCTATAATAGTTTTCAAAATGATAGACAAAAATAAAAAAATAAAGGTAAAATTTGTCATTTATGGGAAATAACTCCTATTAGAAGTCGTCTGACAGTTTTGGCGTGTATGTACAATTGGTAGAGCTCAACATTTTGAACATATTTGCTCGTGTCTGAATTTCTCTATTTATAACGGTTTTCAAAATAATAGACAAAACTTGCATTTTGCTCCTATGTTCTATTTTAGCCATGTCGGCCATCTTGGTTGGCAGGCGAGGTCGTCGGACACATTTTTAAAACTAGATATCCTCATTATGATTGTGGCCAAATTTGATTTAATTTGGCCCAGTAGTTTCAGAGAAGAAGATTTTTGTAAAAATTAACGACGACGACGACGACGGACGCCAAGTGATGAGAAAAGCTCACTTGGCCTTTTAGGCCAGGTGAGTTAAAAACAGCAAATGTTACAAACATTATGCCATTAAATATAAACTATTTGTTTTATTTGTACAGGTATTATAGTTTTGATTTACAGTCAAACACTTTAAATGGTGGACCTTACGATGCTGCTTCTGAATTCATAAAGAACGACTGTGAAGTACTTTAGTAACCTCAACACAGAATCTAGGCCAACACTAGGTTATGGGGACAAAAAAAATATATACGTCCTGTGATTATCATACTTTTACCAGAAAACAAATTCGTCCGGTGTTTAAGGTATAAAGTAGAGTATGAATTTTCAAAATAGTTATAAATATTTTCATTATTAAAATATGGTTACATCTTTTATATTTTGAACCAAGTAGTTTGTATTTTGTTCGTTCGTGATATGCAAAACAAATGAAAATGCAATCATGTTGTTTTATACATATTGTAAAACATCAATAATAAATGATATGTTTGCTTATATGCTTTGTATATAGAGTGTCTGTATGCCTTTTTGTTTTTCTTTGTTGACATAGTTGTTTGTTTTTATAGTGATTAAGATTATAACACAATGTTGACTCCTGTACCCCAATTTTTGACATTTTTACCAATCATGTCTGTTTGTTTTGCTCACACATTGTTGTCAATATAATGAAATTCTATGCGACTGCCATACAAATGAGACGTTTAGCTAGCTATAAAACCAGGTTTGTACAACGGTATACTACTATTGCCTTTATTAATCAATTATTTTCTACATAAAGAAATGCCAATGTACCAAGTCAGGAATATGACATTTGTTTTCCATTCGTTTGATGTGTTTGAGCTTTTGATTTTTCCATTTGGGACCTAAAGGACTTTCCGTTTTTAATTTTACGTGGAGTTCGGTATGTTTGTTTTTCATTTTTTTTTAGATAATGAATTGAATGTTGGAATGTTGGAATGTGCCGTTTCAGAATATAAATGATTGAGGGTTATTTCGTTATTCTACACAAAAATAAAACATAAATTACGCCATTACGGTTAGATAAACATTGTTCAGCACATCTATAAAAGCTACTAATGTTGCCTAGTATGCCTGATTCTTAGGCAGATTGGCACTTAAGTATGCCTCATATCTTCACTTAAATCTATAAATTGACAATTAGGCTCGGTTGACAACAAAACTTTAAAACACAATAGATTATATCAGCTTCCCAATTATACTTTCCATTTCTATGTAGCAACTTTCAAGCAGCGCCTGCATATGGAGTATATATCTCCCAGTTGATACGATATTCCAGAACCTTCATTTTCTGTCATGATTTCCTTGAACATGATTTGCTGCGTACAAGGAAGCTATTAAACAAAGGGTTCAAAGTGGTGAAGTTTAAATCATCCCTTCAAAAAAAAATTTCGAATACCAACACGAGTTGTTTAACCTTTATGGCATATCTGTCTTTATTTGTCGTTGTTCTCCTCTTATATTTGATGTGTTTTGTTCAGTTTTAGTTTGTAACCCGGATTTGTTTTTTTCTCAATAGATTTATGAATTTCTAATAGCGGTATACTACTGTTACCTTTATTTACAGATGACGACAGATATGTTCCAACTGTAGTTACCACAATTCCGTCCTTTTTTGCTCGAAGTAAACTTTTCAACAAATTTATACTTGCATCAACAACATTTTCGGAGCATCTGAGATCACCCCCTGTTTTTACTGGGGTTCAAGTTGCTCAATCTTTAGTTTTGTTATGTCGTGTTTTGTTGACTGTTTGTCTTTTCGTCGTGTTTTTGTTTTTGGCATGCCGTTGTCAGTTTGTCTTCGACAACTTCTTCAATATCCCTTTGGTATCTTCCTTTTCCTTTCCTCAGGAAATGTAAAAAAAAAAAAGGTAAATACAAAAAACGCTCTGCAATCGTGGTCAAAATTACAAGGGATCACACGGGCTATATCGAGCAAAAAGACTAATGGGACTGCGATTGTTTAGAACCCAAAATATTTTATTTCAAACTTGATTGAACATTGTACTCCTCTTTCAAAAAGTAAAAAAAGACTTGGGGGTGTATTGCACGATAGAATTAGGGGTAAAACGTTACTGTATTTCGGCGTACTTGAGAATTACAATTGCATTGCATACATACTGTATCACAATTAAAATATATTCATTTTTAAAACACTTAAGAAAGTCACAAAAATCTAAATTTCTGAAAAACTTTGAATTTCATTTGCATTAAAGGAACCAGATCCTAACTTTAAAAAAAAAACCCAGACTAATTGGTATAATGAACACATAAATTGGGGAAAAATTGGCTTAAAGTAGGAGGTATGATTAAAGTCATTATTTGCCCCCTTAAAGTACTAAAATAGAAAAATCATGCATGCCTAACAATTTTGATTAATAGTGAATAGGGTAATGTTATCTGGATACCTTAGTGCAAAATGTTCACTTATGATTCCACTTTGGCGTCATATATATGTTGATCCTAACTTTAAAAAAAAAACCCAGACTAATTGGTATAATGAACACATAAATTGGGGAAAAATTGGCTTAAAGTAGGAGGTATGATTAAAGTCATTATTTGCCCCCTTAAAGTACTAAAATAGAAAAATCATGCATGCAATTAACAGAATATGTAATAAATGTTCTTCCAATACTGTCGAAGATGAGGCTCATTTTCTATTTGATTGTAACAAATTTGAGGATGATAGAAATTGTATGTTAGCTAGTATTGCACAATATAATTCTTATTTTAATCATATGAACAGTCAAAGCAAAATTATCTGGTTATTTAGTGTAGAAAATGTTGAGTTACTTAAAATAATATGTAATTTTATATACAAACATCTTCCTTAGTGAAGATTAGTTAAAGGAAATCTATGTGTGTATATACATTTGATTGGACATAGAAAATTATATTCATCTGAATATCACAAACATACTAGCCGATTAAAAAAAAAATAATTGTTAAGATATATTATTTATTCAAATGTTCTCTTATATCCTTGAGGCATCGTCCCCTGGTATCAACTGCATTCAAGTTACCTATGATGCTTCCTTGTTTGCTTTTGATACAGGTAGGAAAGAGACATTTACACACATTTTACATGCCTATGGCCCATAAGGTATCGCCCCCTGGTGTCAGCTGCCTTTAGGAAACCATAATGCTTTCCTATTTGCTGCTGACACAGGATGAGTCATGGACATGTTTAATTTCTACTTTCTTTTTGGCTAATTATTATATATTTAATTGATCCAACTTTTTGTGTACTATACATATGTGGATATCTATTTTTCTTTTTTTCTTTTTGGGCTGCTTGTTTGTTATCTATATCAACCACACTTGCAATAAAATGCATTAGTATTAAAAAAAACAACATACTATAGATTCTTTATCTACGTATTCTTTAAGAACTTAAATAGTTCTCGTTTAACTTTCTTTTTTTTTTATCTCATTGTTTGTATTGTATTATGAAAAAATTATTGATGTTGTAATGTTTATGCCCTTTGGGGCCCATAATTGGAAATAAAAAAATATCTTATCTTATCTTATCTTATCTTATGTTGAAGGTGAATATGTACAAACGGTCATTTTAAACACAGTTTATGGATAAAACAGATATGAACAACAGACTTACCAAAAAAGACAGTGTACATTTTTTTTAGTAAAACTGTTGCTCATATCCAAATATTAATGACTAGACCTCAAAACGAGGATATTCGATAGTGTTGACAGTTTTGTACTAAATTCAAAAAGTTTGAGGCATTGACGCAAATATGTTGGTCAAAGTTCAAAACTATAAACAATGATATCGACCAGTTTAATGTCTTTTGAACATATGTAGGATGTTACATGTATTTGGTAGATTTAAAATAATATTTGATTTTCGAATTCATGGGGTCAAATAGCGGCCCGCTGAAACAACAGGGGCCTCTAAGTGTGCGACCAAGGCTATAGAGGTAATCATAAATCAGGAATTATTTGAAAAAAATAATTACTATTCGTCTTTTCTAACGTCAGTTATTAAATACATCAAGAACGCTTACACTTGCTTGAGAGGAAACCTCGAACGTATGAAAGAATCTTATATATGATATATGCTACTCATTTTTGTCCTCAATGCTCTTCAACTTCGTACTTTATTTGGCCTTTTTAACATTTTTTTATTCGAGCGTCACTGATGAGTCTTTTGTAGACGAAACGCGCGTCTGGTGTAAATATAAAATTTCAATCCTGGTATCTATGATGAGTTTATTTACAACCACTGGGTCGATACCACGCACTTCTGTGTTGACTTGAGTTATCATTGATATGTTCATAATTATAAATTAACTGTTAACAAAACTTTGAATTTTTGAAATACTAAGGCTTTTCTACCTCAGGCAAAGATTACATTAGCTGTATTTGGCAAAACTTTTAGGAATTTTTGGTCCTCAATGCTCTTCAACTTCGTACTTTATTTGGCCTTTTTAACATTTTTTGATTCGAGCGTCACTGATGAGTCTTTTGTAGACGAAACGCGCGTCTGGTGTAAATATAAAATTTCAATCCTGGTATCTATGATGAGTTTATTTACAACCACTGGGTCGATACCACTGCTGGTGGAGTTTTAATTCCCCGAGGGTATCACCAGCCCAGTAGTCAGCACTTCTGTGTTGACTTGAGTTATCATTGATATGTTCATAATTATAAATTAACTGTTAACAAAACTTTTAATTTTTGAAATACTAAGGCTTTTCTACCTCAGGAAAAGATTACCTTAGCTGTATTTGGCAAAACTTTTAGGAATTTTTGGTCCCCAATGCTCTTCAACTTCGTACTTTATTTGGCCTTTTTAACATTTTTTGATTCGAGCGTCACTGATGAGTCTTTTGTAGACGAAACGCGCGTCTGGCGTTAATATTAAATTTCAATCCTGGTATCTATGATGAGTTTATTTACACATGAGTTCCTGGAAATTATGGGAAATTGTCTACTCATACATACATGTGATAATTAAAGTATTATACTTCATATTAAAATGCCAGATGTTGACTGGTTAATACGAGAGAGACATTTTACTGTTATCACTTAACTCAGCAGGAGACAACATTTTGAATGTCACCCTCGTGTGCAAACCAATGAAAAATCGATAATTTAAAAGAGAATGCATTCAATGTATATGACATTGCTCCTTCTACGTTGTCGGCCTCATGCCGTTCTCATAGAATGTAAACATAAAAAAAACATATTTTGTTAATTTTTAATTACTTAAACGTTTAGTGGAGTAACCAATCAAGAAAAAGTCGCTTATTTTAAGAGTTTAGTGGACCGACATACCTTACGGCTGAAAATCTAAATGATGATAGAGTAAACATTATACTATCATTTTAGCCCTGTCGTAGATTTTTCCCACGGTGCAGAGTTTTGTAAAATCGCGATAAATAGTGACTTTCCGATTTTTTTCTTTTTCATTATAAAACACGGCCGGGAACGTTTATAATTAATTCGAGTATAAA